TGTCTCTGCATCTGTTCTCAGTGCTTCTGGCGGTATTCCATCTGGTCCTGCTGCTTTCCCGCATTTCAGTAGCTTTATGGCGTTCAGGACTTCCATTTTCGTTGGGGGATTTATGTTCACTTGTAATTCAGCGGCTGCAGGTGGTATTTCTGGACGAAGTGCAGGTGGTGGTCGATTTAAGAGCTTCTTGAAGTGGTCGGCCCATCGTTTCCTCTGTTTCTCTTCTTTTGTAATTAAATTTCCTTCTTCATCTTTTATTGGTTTCATCTGTGTTGGTCTCTTCCCTGATAGCAACCTGGTTATTTGATACAATGTCGTCAGGTCTCTCTTACCTGCAGCCTGTTCTGCTTCACTTGCCAGTGTATCGTAGAAGTGTCTTTTGTCTTTGCGTGCACTCTTCTTCACTTCTTTATCCAGTGTTTTATACATTGTGCTCAGTTCCTCTTGTCGTTGAGCATCCTTGCACTGGTTTATCTTCTGCTTCACCATCCTCCTCTCCTCTATCAGCTTCCAGGTATCCGTCGAGATCCATTCCTTGTCTTCTTTCTTCTTCCTTCCTAATACTGTTGTGCAGGTTTCTTTCCACATAGCTTTCAAAGACTTCCAGTGTTATTCCACACAGGTTTCTTCAGGGATGTCCCTCGATATCTCCCATTTTGTCTTGATGGCTGCCGTGAAGATCTCCTTTGTAGTTTCATCCTTCAGTTTCCGAGTGTTGTACTTGAATTGAGGTCTATCACCAGCTTCCTTGAAGGCTTTTAACTTGATTTGGAAGGTTCCTTGCACTAGATAGTGGTCTGAACCTACATCTGCTCCTCTTCTTGACCTTGTGTTAAGTAGACTGCGTCTCCATTTTCTTGAGATTGAGATAAAGTCGATTTGATTTTTAGTGTGTCCATCTGGTGAAGTCCATGTCGCTTTGTGGATATCCTTGTGCCTGAACACACTGCCTCCAATCACCAAATCGTTGAATGCACAGAATTCTGCAAACAATTCTCCATTCTCATTCATTTCACCTAGCGCCTCTCGACCCATGGTTAGTTCTCTTCCCGTGTTGTCCCCTCCCAGTTTGGCATTCATGTCGCCCATTAGAATTTTGATATCGCCAACTGACGTCTTGTCCAGTGTTGACTGAAGTTGTCTGTAGAATTCCTCCTTTTTCTCTTGCTCTGCATTATTTGTAGGTGCATAACATTGTATGATTGTGACCTTTCTTCCTTTTGAGTTGAATCTTGCTGTCATGATCCTGGAGGAGATTGGTTCCCACTGCATGAGAGCCTTCGATGCTCTTGAGGACATCATGATAGCCACTCCCTCAGTGTGCTCGTGGTTGGCGTCTGGGTGACCGGAGTAGATTATTGATTCTCCAGTTGACAGTTTGGAGAGTCCACTCCCATTCCATCTGCTTTCGCAAATCCCAAGCACTTCGATGTTATACCTTCTCATCTCCTTTGCAATCTGGGCTGCCTTACTGGGTTCAAACATCGTGCGGACATTCCATGTCCCCACGTTTACTTTCGCTTTCATCGAGAGAAGACACATCGGCCAATTGGCTTCCCGAAGGCTTTCACCAACTGGCGTCATTTCGCCTCTCCGATTCCAGCGGGGAATAAGTTTGTTTTCATTTTTTATATTTTGTTTGTGCTTTGAAGTTTCTTTAGCGGTTAGATTTGTTTTACGGGGTAGGGTTGCTAGCCCTATGCCCAACCTTCCCTCTTTACCCGGGCTTAGGACCGGCTAGTAACTAGTAAACTAGTTAACCAGGCGAGGTTTTCGGTTCAGACAATTTACGTCTTATTATTGTTTTGTCGAAGTTTATAAAGGGAACTAATTGTTTTAAATGCATTTTAGATTCTATTGTTCTCTAACACAAAAAAAATGTTGATTCACTAATTGAATAGTAATAGTCAAACTGTTGACTAATGTGTAATACTGCAGTCTTTCTGGAGTTCATTTCCAGAATTTAATGTTTATATCACCATCTCAGCTCATCTTAGTCTATATAAAGCGCTAACCTATTTTCATAATGATGAACAACTCTCCAAACCTTAATATCATCTTCAAATAACAAAGATGATGACGCAGGCATCCTTGGTAGTTAACTGATATAAACCAGAAAGGAAATAATTATGAATAGTTGTTATTCATCGAAGACTGACATCAGTTGGAGGAACAAAGGAAACCTGGGAGCACTGAACAGCTGTTTCGTCACAGTATGGGACTCCTCAGCAGTGCGCACCCACGACAACACCAGCAGGGGTCGAACCCACGACCTTCAGGTTCCGCGACCAGCGCGTTACCATCGAGCCACTGGGTCAGAATCCAATGCTCCATATTTCCAACTTCTGTTAGCTCACGATATAGCGCAAACCGCCACCCAATGTCGTCGTTGAGTATTTGTCCTCGCGGCCATCAGGCTTTGACTCCACCGGTCACGACTTGTCATTGGAACTTCGGGAATACTTCTCGAAGCTAGTCACCAACGAGCACTAGTTCAATTAAATTTTGAGGGGGTTGTGGAGATTTGGAAATATTTCAAGTTGTTATTCATCGAAGACTGACAGCAGTTGGACTGACATCACTGGACAGCTGAAACAGCTGTCCAGTGCTCCCAGGTTTCCTTTGTTCCTCCAACTGATGTCAGTCTTCGATGAATAACAACTTGAAATATTTCCAAATCTCCACAGCCCCCTCAAAAAAAATTTAATTATGAACAATCTAATTACTAAGTGGTTTTCGCTTAGCGAATACTCCATTCAGTGTCATCCTGCACTTTATGCTATACAGGTATTTGATAAACCACTCTTGGATGTCATTATCTATGCTGAAAACAGAAAATTCCCTCAGCAAGCCAGAATGCGACGTACTGTCAGATCCTTTGACGAAGTGAATAAAAATCACATCAACTCTCAGTTTATTGATTCTAGCTTTGAACCATTTTTCTCTAATCAAAAGAAAATTTGTATATGTAGACATTTTCATAACTATTATGTATCTGAATATCAACTGATGTCCCTATGACTTGAGTTATCTGAGTTGTTTATTCTTTATTCTCATGAATTGCATTGTAAATTTGTTTATGGGTGACAAATTTATACAGATTGGTGATACGGTTTGTCCCAAGTGAATACACACCCTGGTAAGCATTATGCATATTCTTTAGCGCTCATTCTTCTCATAATATTTTTGCGTAGTCAGTTATGGTACATCTAAGTTTTTTGAGAAAATACAAGAAAAATTCCAACTATGACAAACAAATGAATGATCCGGTATCGAAGTTTATTGTAATAGCTTTCTTAACATGTTTACAACCATTAAAAACCAACTGTTTATATGTAATGAAAATCCATGTTGACTATGTTTACAAAAGATGATAAACGATTCTAGGGAAACCAGATGTTAGAACCAATGAGACTTTAAGTTTCCGTTGATTACTTGCACGATTAGATCATAGAATTGTATGATACGAAACTTTTGACCCGATATTCTGGAACGAAGTTAAAGATAGAGTTCAGAAGTTCAACCATCTACTTTTAGGGTCTTGAAAAGGTGAATAATAGTATGAAATTGACCATTATTTATTGTAACAAATCTTTTCTGTATCTTGAACTTCCGAGAATAAAATATCTTCGACCCAGTGGCTCATTGGTAACCTATTATTATTATTATTATTATTATTATTATTATTATTATTTGTCCCTTGGGTTCCTAGAAGAACATACGGCTTCAGTAACACGTTTCCATTGCACTCTATAATCTACAGTCTTTTCAACCTGGCTCTATCATTTATCATAAGCTTTCATTTCTTCCTCACATGATCTTCTCCACGTCACCCTCGCCTCGGACGTCTCAATCATCGTTTTCAATGCGGGTTCCACTCGACGGCCCGACCTGGTGCCTGATGTCCTCATATGGTTTTCTCAGTGTATATCCAATTTATCTCCACTTTCTTCTGCATATTTGTTGGGCCATGGATTCTTGCTTCGTTGGTTCGTTGCAGCCAGAATTCCTTGTTGCTTATTCTTATTATTCTGGCCATCTGATTTTCACTATCGAGTGAGTGTAGGCGGCAGCTGTTGATGTGATGTAAGTCTGTTGTTTGTTGGAAATACTTTCCGTCACGCGCCAAGTCTCTCAACCATCAAGTAGAAGCACTGATTTACTTGACTGAATCAGTGTTGCAACTGTAGACCCCGCTCACGCTTTATACTGGGTGCAGTGCAGTAGATCTCCACACTGATTATTTGAGGTTAATGAAGGTCTCTCTTACTGTCCTTCCGATCCTGGTTGCTTTGACATTCTTATCTGTGTCGCCACCTGTAATTGAAACGATGCTGCCTACATAGGTAGGCTGAAAGAGACAACTTCCCTTAGATTTCTCCCATTCATGGTGATTGGAGCTTGTTGTTGATGTTGTTGCTGTTGGTTGGGTATCTTCATCACCTCTGTCTATTCCAAATTCACTCGAAGTCCCGTCTTTTTGCTGCCTCGCCTATTTTGTCTGCTCATCTTCTCGCTCCTCACAGTTTGCTGCATGATACACTCTAGTCCAGTGGACCACAATCAAGAAGATGATCGGTGATAGTAGGCGGCAACTTTATCTTACTCCTGTAACCTGTTGTCCGCGAAATATGAATAATTTGCTTTTTATTCCTTATGATATCATGAATGCTCACTGCTTAGAAACCATATACTTAGACAAAACAGCTGTTTACTACTCAAAGAGTTTTCAATAGTTTCTTCAACAAATGTCATTTTGAAATCAGTTAAACATCAAAAACTTTAAAAGTTAAAATTTTTATTGATTGAACACTTTTTATTTTGTTTACAGCAAATATCTCATCTGAATTTAAATACTTTGAAATAAGGATATATATATATTACACATTTTTAATCGTCTGACCCTAATACACTTCATCGGATTACTGGATTATTTTATAGCATAAAAATATACATATATATATATATCTTTAAAACTGGCTTCGTCTAATACAAATCATATGAAGAAGAGATCAAGTGTAGATTATAACGCGGGTTAGTTATACCTTATTGTTAGCTTATTTTTCTTTCTCTTTATAAATGTACATATTGAAAATTGACATGGTTTTACAGTTATTTAAGCTAATCATCATACAATTCTATTGTTTATTTGGTTGCTAATATCTTTTCATTGCAATCATCTTGTCGTCAATAACTAAACATGATGACAAGTTAAACATGAGTAAAAAGTGAATCTGTTTTATCAAAGAAGTGTTTACTAGTTTCCATGATTTGTATTTTTTTTATTTCACTGATAGTTGCCCGATAAGATGAACGAGCAAAATTTGATAACTACTTGTGAAGTTTAGCAACACGTTAGAAAGGGTAAAATTTTCATTTTTTACATACTTATCACACTACTTTTATGTCTCATAATTACTGTTTTATTATAGAATTTAACGTTGGTGTAGGTGTCTGCCTACCTTAACTTTGAGAAAAATGTCTGAATTCTTTTTTATATGTTTTCTTGACAAACATTTTACTTTGAAGTTATGACTAGGATATGGAATATAAACACGTGTGTCTTACTCTTGTATAAAAGAAAATCAGATTTCAGGAAGTAAAATAAAGTATACTCTTACAAGTGTCTTTTATTTTTAAAGATATATATACCTTCTGAATAGATATCATTTTTAATTGATTCAGATAAGTGGGTTAGTTAGCCAAGGTTGTTGTCTGTTCAACTAGCTTATCAATCAGTTGTCCTTTGTGTATATGAGTGACTTTAAAGGCCATCCTAATAACAACTAAAATAACCAGTCAGATTTCTCTTTTTTTTTATGAAAAACTACCTTTCCAACTGAAATTATTATTATTATATTATTTATCCCTTGAGTTCCTAGTGGAACATACGGCGTTACTAGGACGTCTCCATTCCAATCCGTTCTCTGTAATCTTTTGAACCTGGCTCCACAACTACCAACAAGCTCTCATTTCCTCCTCACACGATCTCCTCCATGTCACCCTCGACACCAACGCCCAACTCATCGTTTCCCATCTGGATTCCCCTCGAGTGCCTGGTGCGTGATGTCCCCGAATGGTCTTCTTAGTGTATGCCCAATCCATCTCCTCTTCCTTCTGCATATTTGTTCAGCGACAGGTTGTTGGTTGGTTCGTTGCCAGACAGAGTTGCTTCTTGCTTATTCATTCTGGCCATCTGAACTTCAGTAATGAGCCAGAGTAGGCAGTTGTTGATGAATGTCTGCAGTTTGTTGAAAATGCCTTTCTTAACGCACCAGGTCTCTGAAGCATACAGAAGCACTGACTTGACTGAATTGGTATTGGAAATCCGGATCTTGTTCACTGTTTATGCTGCATGTAGAAGATCTGCACACCGGTTTCAGGTAAATGAACGTCTGTCTCCAACCGAAATCGGTAATTGGTTATTACTGTTGTTGCTAGTGTAGCTTTTAAAGTCAAACATGTGTATATATGCTTAATTCGACTTTTTCTCATGGCTCAGTAATCTACAATTAAGAGGTAACACCTAGGAATTTGACTGAAGGTATCGCTTCGTTAAACAATTTCCTCTTATCATTCATATCTTCAATTCAATAACTATTCATATTTTCTTAACAGTTCAACCATTAATTTTGTATAAAAATATGTGTAGGTCAACTTGATTGCTTGCTTGTCCTTGTTGATTACAACTGCTATGCTCAATCAATTTATCCATCTGCTAATTATTAATTTGAGCAGTAACTATTCAAGTGACGTCCTTAGTGTTATCAAAGTTGTTGATATTATGCTTCTTAGCTGTTGTCGTATATAACAACTTGAGCTAATGGATTATTGTTAAATTTTGTGTTACTGTCTCTTTGTGATGAAATTACTAAAGGTAGTTGCTTACTATCCTTAGTCGTTTAAGGTTTCATATTTAAGCGAAAGGAATCTTCCTATATCTGTAGTTCATTCAGAAGCCAAGAAATTGACTGAGATGATCTAATGTATTTAGTTCCTTCTCACGCAGCGTCAACAGTATAGCATTGGACTTGGGGAAAACAAGCCATTAATAACAACAGGGTGTTGAGTCGACATCACTGAAGAATCTTGTACTGAGGTAAAACAGCTTCCTAGTACTCTAGTCTATTCAGTGGTTATCCAACTGAAACCATTACTTCAGGAATATATCTTGAAGTCAATCAACCCCTGAAAACATACAAATTAAATATATCTTAAATTGAAGGAATGTTGATTGTTGATAAACTTGACAATTCGAATGGTTCGGTTGATCACTTTTACTCTGAGGGAAAGTTTCATTTTAAATGTAGGTAAAAATATAATAATGTTTCATTAGAGATAAGCTAGGGTTCAATAGAAAAGTATATAGTCCACAGTTGTCACAATTCAAATGAGTAGAGAGAGAGAGAGAGATGAAGTCAAGAAGTCAGAACAAAAGGTATGAAAATGCTGTAGCAAACGTGACATGGGTGATAAGACCCAAAATAAGGTGTTCATTAATTTAAAGAAGGACACATCACTACAATAGTAATCACTTTAAAATCTATGTCACAAGAAGTCATCAATTATCTGCGTATAGCTTCTGGTTAAGAAGCTGACAAATAAATGTGAATGACTTTAAAGACCAGACTAGCAACAAGTGAAGTAACTAAAAAGATCTTGTAATTTTAAGAAAAACTGACTTCCCAGTCGAAATGCTGAAACCTGATTGGTGATTTTGGTAGTTGTTATGGTGGCTTTTAAAATCATTGTTTAATTAGTGATTTGACAGGGTTTGAATAAGCTTATTACTGGAGGACTCATCAGTTAAGTCTATACTTAAGCTTGACCGAATTAGGATATCTTTTATTCTACGCTTACCTTAGTTTCAATGGCCACTCTAATAACTGGTGAGATAAGCATTTAGCCTTCTCTGTTTTATAGAAAAACTACTACTGAAACCTGATTGGTTGTTTCAGCGTTTGCCAGGGTTGCTTTTAGAGTTACCCGTTGAAATGATGGAAGGTTTTTTTTAGCATGATGTTGGGATACTTCAAGGTGTGATAAAAGCTTCTTCACCAACCTACAAGTGGATAACACCCAAAGTCAATGAAAACTATCTAAATATTCGTGTAACATTTGAATATGCTTTACTTCTTTAAGAAGTTAGTGTTGAAGATGTTATCAAGCCAGGTGATGAAATGTCCACGATAAAATATCAAGTCTTAGACAATATCGAATCACCACAATATTAGGTTGAAGATGGCGCATTTCATATTATTATTATTATTATTATTATTATTATTATTATTATTATTATTGTTATTATTATTATTGTTATCATTATTATTATTATTATTATTATTATCATTTGTCCCTTGGGCTTCAATAGCACGTCTCCAGTGCACTCTGTTCTCTGAAATCTTTTGAACCTGGCCCCACAACTACCCACAAACTCTCATTTCTTCCTCATACGATCTCCATCATATCACCCTTGACACCAATGCCCAACTCGTCTCTTCCCATCGGGGTTCCACTCGAGTGGAACTGACTTGACTGAATTGGTGTTGAAAATCTGGACCTTGTTCTTTGTGCTGAGTGCAGAAGATCTGCACAGTGGTTTCAGGCTAATAAAAGCTTATCTTGCTTTTCCGATTCCGACTTTGACGTCCTCGTCTGTGCCGCCTATAGTTGAAACAGTGCTGCCTTGATAGGTGAAAGAGGCTTCTTCCTTTAAGTTTCTCCTGGTGGTGTCGTCCGTTGGGTATCTTCACCACCTTCATCTTCTCTACGTTCACCTGAAGTTCATTCTTTGTTGCCTCACCTCTTCTGTCAACTTGTTAGTTTTCGCCTATAGGTCTTCGAGTTTTTGCAACATCAGACACAAGTCATCGGCGAAATTCCAAGTCTTTTAGATTCTTTTCCGCAGTCCAGCTAGCGTATCCCCGTATTCTAGCTCCTCACTGTTTGTTGCGTGATCCAGTCGACCACAGTCAGGAAGATCATTGGGGATAGTAGACAGCCTTGTTTCACTCCTGTCTTCACTTCAAAAGCATCACTGAGCTTCCCATTGTGAATTACTTGGCATGTGGCGTGCGTATTTCATAAACTTACTTTTATTATTATATACGAAACAGTAGATCTTATTTTCTTCCTTATATCTTTAGTGTTTATTGTTGATTGAAATTTGGACCTGTCTTAAAATGCTTTAAAAAAAAAGTAGCGTTCAACTTTTAAATGTTTCAATAATTTGTTTCCAGTTCAACAAAATATTCGTTGAATTATTTAACAGACTCGTAATTAGTCTGTATGTTATACATTCACTGTCTGATGTAATAAATATTGGAAATATACTTTTGAACACCGATTTTCTCCACACACACCAAAAAAAGATAACAACAGATAAACAACAACTGTCTGTCAGTTGAACCATTTAAGGAAGGTATTTCAAGCTAAAATGACAAGAAATCAATTCACTCGTATAAATTGAAGGCCTCATTACTTTAAAAATTTATTCTTCCTTTTGATAATATTTTTTCTATGTGTGAGGTAAACTGGTCACCTGCTGTGTGAATGTAGGTCTCTTTCCTCTTTCTCTCTTTAGCACTCTTTTAAAAATACGAAGTATACGCACAACCAGGAAGCGTCAGGTGGTGATGTATTTTTTTCTTATCCTTCAGGATACTTCAGTTTTGAATATTTTTAAAAGTGACCATTACAAATGATTCGACTTTCTGGTAAATGATTGACAGTCAGTTGAAGTGTTGTCTTTTTTTTTTAGATCTTTTACACCTCTAGATCCAGTAGTTATACTTTTAGTTCACGGATACTTTTTCAATGGAAATGTTTTACATACTGTTATTAGTATCCGCAGAAAGGATCCGGATACTGGTGTAAGAAATCTGTGGTTTCTTGAAGAGGTACTTTTGTGAATTGATATGGAGGCTCAGTTTAAGGAGTGAGTGAGGAGACGAAGGGCTTGTTCAAAAGTAAATTGGTTAATATTACTAACCATTATCTTCTTTCGACAACTCTAGAGTCTAGAATTTTTGTCT